ATATGACCATCAATAGCATATGCACCGCTTGCCTACTATCTAATAGGTAGGGATAGGTCCTATCTCCCCCAGCGGATGCGTAGATGAGGTTAGTTTTCATGTTCGCTCCAATCCGAGATAAATTTCGGACATTCTCACTGCTCTCCCGATACACGCCCTAGAAGGGAGAGTGTGTCCCGGAGAACAACAGAGGTGCCGCCAAACCCCATCTCGCACCGGACCGACCATACAAACTAAACCATCTACGCCTCGCTGGCTGTCCAAATAACGTGGACAATCCGAAATAGATACGGTCGCAGATATGCAGAGATCCACATACCTATGATCAGATCTCTTTCTTTGGACGGGAGACGCCTAACCGGTTTACGCGATCTAGCTAGGGTTACGGACAAAGGGCTTATACCTAGGGTGGCGGTGGAGTGGAGAGGTGACGCGTGCAGCGCGCACCCGAAGGAAGACGCCGAGGTACTCCGGTCCCCTCCGTCAGGCTCTTCTCTGCAAAACAAGAAACACAATTTATAAGTTTAAAATTTATGTAACCTCCCTCAGACGGGGAGGCTTCCAAACTCCCCCAGGAAAAAGACGCCACGATGGCCGACATCCACAATTTCAGCATGATGGCCGACACAGCGACATATGGCACGATGGCCAACACATCCACAAAAGGCACGAAGGCCCACTAATCCAGAAATGGCACGAAGGCCAAAGAAGCAGCAGCTGGGAGGGGGCTTTACCTTGGGTGGCGGTGTAGTCGGGCGACGCGGAGTCGGGATCACCCTCGTCTTCGGCTAGACACGGGGAAAACGGCGACGACCGCTCGGCGTGACGCGACGACGCGGGGGCATGACGGTCGTAGGCCTCTCCTTCTCCCCCCCTCTCTTCTCCCTTCCTCTTCTCCCCTGCGCTCCTTCTCCTCTCCCCTCCTCCTCCCTTCTCCCCTGCTCCTTCTCTCTTCTCCCTTCCTCCTCCAAATGCTCTTTGCACGGCCGGTAGGGGCGCACGGGGACGGCCGGGGGCGCGCGGGGCCAGCCGGGGACGCGCTGGCCGTGGGGGTGGACCACCGGCGGGTGTGGCCGGGGGAGGCGGCGGTGCCCGACCACCGGCGAGGCGGGGGACGACGCGTCTCGACGACGACGGCTTTCGGTGGGCAGGCTGCCCTCGGCCACAGCGCAGGATGGGGGGCCGCCTCCGGTGGCGTGGGGATGGGGCGTGGAAGGGCTACTGGCGATCTGGTGACGGGCGGGGGGGAGAGGCTACTGGCGGCTGGGGACCCACATGGCATGGATGCGTGCGAGGAAGGGAATGCGGGCGCATGCAAGCGAGAGGAAGGGAATGAGTGGGCCCGTTAGGGTTTTCCTACCTGGTTTATGGGATCGGCCTTTGCCGAGGGCCCAGATCCGGCTCTCGGCAAAGTTTTTTTTAAACTCTTTGTCGAGAGCCCTTGAGGCTCTCGGCAAATACAATTTTTTTTTTGTTTTTTTTCCCAATTTTTTTCTGGTGGGTAACAATAATATTTAAAAGACATATTTAAAATTTGGAGCTTTTTTGATTTTATTAGCTATATTTAATAAGTTTATTTCATTTACTTGAATTCTTCCCGGTAATTCAAATTTGAACTGCAGCTGCATCGAATATTGGAATTGAGTGATTCAAAAAATCATATTCATGGTATTGCATGTGGTGTGATACCGTATCCAGTGACAGATGCCAAATTTGGCGCATCGTTTTCACGGAACACGGCGAGGAACTTGCATGTAAAGTATTTTTAAATTATATAAAATGGAAACGAAGTCCGAAATTCACAAAACTTGTCGAGGTGTCATTTCATCGCATGTATAGGCTGTGATAAAAAATTGAGTGGGTTTCGAGCAAGTTGCGACGTCCGATGCCTAAAACCCAGACATCTCCTCATGTGATCACAGTTGATGTGGGTACAACAGTAAACCCACGGAAAAAATTTGGAAGCAAAAAAAAGCAAAAAAAAAAAAAAAAAATTTGCCGAGGGCATAGAAACGACACTCGGCAAAGTAATTCTTTGCCGAGGGCCAAATTCCGACCCTCGGCAAAACAGACGGCAGGTGAAGGCCGTTTGCCTGCCGTCACAAGTTTACCGACGTTCATGTTTTGCCGAGAGCCGGACCTCGGCAAAGATAAACTTTTGCCAACGGCCTTTCTTTGCCGACGGCCGGACCCTCGGCAAAGGGCCCGGTTGCCGAGAGGAATTCTTTGCCGACGGCCTGGCCCTCGGCAAATATGGTTTTGCCGACGGCCTACCGTTGCCGAGGGCTGACTCTTGGCAAACCGTTCTTTGCCGAGAGCCCGACATTTGGCTCTCAGCAAAGACGCTGGCTCTTGGCAACGGGCCTGTTTCCGGTAGTGTCAGACAGGCCTGCTGGCATCAGTTGCATATGCACGGTAACTTCCAAAGTGATTTCAATATTAGAATCTCTTCCTCAAGGAGATCTTCATTATTGCTGTCTGACACGTATGGAAGCAGCGAAACAACTTTATTTTTGACAGGGGCCTTTTTTTCTCCTTAGGAACAGTGATGGGCCAGCAGGTATTTCAGATAGGTCCAGGACTGCCCTGAAATCTGGCCCAAAAAGTTTTTAGTACTCAACAGCCCAAAAAGAAATTTGGCCCGGCACACCACAAGGCAGCCAACACCTCTCCTGCCCAGCTCCCCGACCGCCGGGCGCGACCCCTGACTTGGCACGATTTCTGCACTGCGAACGTCCGCCGGCCGAGCTCCGATCCCCGAGGCCCGAGTGGCTCGCCGCCGGCCGCGGCCTCGGCGCCCATCGGCCCCGCGCGCGTGGTTGCTGCCTCGCGGAGCGGCACCCGCACGGCCCCAGCGCGGCCCACCGGCACCGCGCCACCAGCCCACATGGCCGCGCGGCGCGCGTACATTCGCCGCCGGCGCCGGGCGCCAAGCAGCTGGCCGGCCGCCCAATCCCGAGCGCCGCCCTGGTGAGTGCTTCTGAGTTTTGAGCTTTCTCTGAAATCTGAAATCCCATTCTCTTAATGGGGTTTGGACATTGGACTAAAATTCGTTTAGAGGGATTGTGTATATGTGAAATTGGTCTGTTAAATTGAGTGCTTCTTAGCCTTCTCCCAAATCTCAATCAACCTTTGATGTGAATGAATAAGATGCTGTCAGAACTCAGAAGAAATGCATTTTAAAAGGTCCATGCCATCTTTATGCCTATGATTATGCTGCTAGAAAAATATAATTTAATAAGTATCCTTTAATTTTATTGTATTGCATATGAAAATTTAAACTAGGACGGCCCTGATTTCAAATCCTGAGTCCGCCACTGTCCTAGAAATGATCCTTCTTAGATAAGGCTAGACTCTGGGCTAATTTGGAAGCAAGGGAAGCCATACCCAGGGATGGAAAACCCCTCCATAATGAACTAAATAATTATTTCCCCATGGATTTTCCACCCTTGGAAAAGTCATGGATCCCAAGGGGATTTGAGTTTCCAAATTATCCCTCTTAGGATTTATGAGGACAAATGCTCTCCTTTCCTCCTTTGTATGATCCCTTTTCTTATTTTTAGGCTGCCAAGTGTCTCTCTCAGCCTCTTGGATGGTTTTTGTTGTGCTTGCTCCCTTGCACAGTTCTCTCCTTTTTTTTTATATATAATATTTTACGCTAAAAAAAAGAATTAACCTGATGCCTCCGTTGAGGTCTCTGATTAGTAATAGTAAGATAACAATGTAAGGTATTACATATATGCAAAAGAGCTATCTAAGTTGGACACTGATACCTCAGTATCCCACGAAAAATATCATCAAACTACTTCCGATCCACGCCCCACTCCTCCTGGCATGCTCTATGCATCGCCATCTCAACATATCCTCTTGTAGTAGCCCGAAGCATGATGACTCACTTCTTCGACCACTATGTTCTTGGCTGGAGAGTCTTAGCATCACTATTATTGTTGACGAAAAGGCAATAGATAAACTCGAGACGACCCCAACGATGGTGGCTTATATTTGATGGCTTTCATGGCAGTGATCTAGTGGAGAAACATGTTCCGATAGCTAAAACTACAACAAAATCACAATAAATATATCGGCTTTAACATGCAATTGGTCTATTGATTCCCCAATGCTCATTTGTGAGAGGCTAACAAGCAGCACAATTTTTTTTTTCTTTTTGCAAGAAGCTGACCACAAGCAGAAAATCACAGCACAACTGACATCAAGGTAGAGTGGCATTGGTAACATGCATGAGAGAAGCAACTTGCTGGCATCAATGGTAGTTCCATCCTTTTTTCTATAACGAGCCTTTTACTTTTTCGTGACTGTATCATGAGGTATGTATTTCACTAAGAGGAAGAAGAGTTTCAAGCTTACACCTTAACTGGTAATCCAAGGATTACCAAAGACAGAGAGCAAAAAAAAAAAATAGAAACCATTACATTGCAAGAACACCTATTTGCGACCAGTGAAGCAGCTGCCGAAGTTGTCTGAACCCTGCCATGCATGTCCCAAAGGTTTCCATCCTTCTTTCTATAACTAGCCTTTTACGTTCCATCAAGTTAACTTTTAGTCAATAGGTTTGCAACATCGCCTTCTCCAATCTGTAAATTATCATTATCAATGCATTGGGTTCATAATGAAGTAAGAAAAATTGAAGTGACAAATTAAGCATTTAATTTGTAGTTGATTACATCAAAACTTCACTATGTACCTACCAGTTTTCTGAGAGAACCGCAAATATCAGAATGGCCCGCTTTGTTCACCAAACTTGTAGTAGTGATCTCCTGTAAAAAAAATAATTTAAAGTCAGCTAGACGCCCATATCATATTCTGACAGGAAATCATTTGAGCATACACGGCTACACATGAAAACATGCCTTAACATAAGAATAGTATATGTATAGGAACTTCGACTGACAAATAGATTACTGGATATAATGGCACGGAAGAAGTAGGCAAGAATTTGAATATGCGAAGAAAATTTGACAATACCTATTCTCACGTGAGGGATGCAGGAAATACTGTGCCATTCGGAGGTCCCTTTCCTTATCCAATCATCCAGCAAATGTGGATCGCACGTTAATCATGAAAGACTCCAGTGAGGAGGGCAAAATGGGAAAGGGCAGGAAACGAGGAGCTGTGATGGCATACTCTTTTTTCCTCAATAGCACCAGATTGACATTGCATTATTAAGGGGAAAGTAGGTCAAGGACTAGTACTTGCACATACCCATACTGAATTTTGTACAGTTTGCGAGGCCTTTACTTGCGAGATTTATGTGGGTTTTGTCACTGTGTGTGACAAAGTGATGCTTATGTTGCTGTTTCCTTTGCTCTTGCAGTTGGGATCCACTGCAATCGGGTTGAAGACAAAGGATGGCATTGTTCTCGCCGTCGAGAAACGTGTGACCTCGCCACTGCTGGTACTTACTGAGTTAACTTTTCCTTCTTCTTAGCCAGTACTAGTGCTTGATTTTATGGTGGCAAACATTGGGATGTTAAATTGGGAACATTGCTTGCTCACCGAACTTACTTTTATATGAATATATATCCTCTTATTGGTCTATTGTAGCACCCGGTTTTAAGAACAAAACCAGATACACACCATATGTGAGCCCAGGAAGTCAAATCTCACATTTAGCTACAAATAAGGGTAATATCGAAAGACAATGCTCAATATATAACGTACTTAGTATAAAGGATATAACCTTAAACAACAAACAACGGAAAGACAACTCTGATCTTAGGGTGAAAACTCCAATTCCACAGGGACAATTGACTGGTTGATCACAAGCCTAATTCCTCCAAACTCTAGCAATCTGATACCCATCCGGGATTTTCCAAAGATTTATAAAGTAAAGCAAGCGTAAGTACATATCGTACTCAACAAATATAACATGGGGTTCATGAGGCTCAAAAGGCTGACACTAGTTTAACTACGATTAGCTTTTAATGAGTCATGATTTTAGCAATTGAGTAGCAACAAGTTTATCACAAACCCATGTAAACACATGATCAGGTAAACATGAATAATGAATAGCATAAACAATAATCATTATTGAGCATCTTTATCATCAGTGTTCATCATCTATTCCGTAAATGTTCCAAGGCCGCTCGTGACCGTGAGCACGACTGTTATAATAGTTTTACACTCTACAGTGGTTGTACACTTTCACTGTGAGTCATGATTACCCATATGCTCGGGTTTATAACTCCCAAAACACTTTCAAGGTGAGCAGGCAAGGTACACTATGAAGTCTTTCCAAGGTTCGTCTAACAAGTTAGGGCCGCTAGGTTTCTGTGCCCTGCGAATGTAGGTCTCCCCTTCCGACAGGCACAATAACGCGCAGCCTATACACTGACGGACAGAGGCCGCACTATATCCAACCCGAAATACACCCCTCTTTCGCCATAAAGGTAACCTCTAACAAGCTAGAAAAGGTCCTTGTACTGAGCTAAAGCCAGAGCCATGTGACCCTCACAGCTGTACTGTAAGTCCCTGATGATCACTTATAGATAAGTCCTTAGGGAGAGGAATCTAGAGCATTTAGAAAGTAGCTAAATACTCCAGCCCCCTGTTTCCAAGTTGCTAAAAAGTCATGTTTTAACGTTTATTGCATATACCATTAGTTAAGTTACAAGATCATGGTTTAGTTGAGCACTAGAATAGCTACCCAATGCATAACCCATAGGAGACAAGGTATAAGTCCAAGTCTAGGAAATCCTTATTAAGGTGACACATGCAACCATGAATTAAATGTATTAAGGTTAATAGGAAACAAGGATGATCTCATGCTATACTTGCCTTAAACTCTGATCTCCTTCTAGTCCAAACCTTTCAAAAACCGCTTCTTGATCACCAACGCAAAGCTCACCGACTAGACATGATCATAAAACACCACACAAGCCTCCATGCAATCATACATGAATCAAACAATAGGACTAAATTAGAACAGTACACCAAACATATAGAACAACAAGTAAAAATGTTTTAAAGACGTTCTATTCAAAAGAAGAAAACGTATTCCATTGAATACACCATGGATGGCGGGTTCTATTTAAATGAAACTGAGGGGCTCTTATGCAAAAATGCTAGCCGAATCTGTATGGAGACATCTGGGCCGTCGGATCTAACTTGGACGCGCCAGATTAGATTGAGTGAGGGGAAAGAGAGGTGGCCGGCCGGCGGCGAGTCCAGACGGCGGCGCCATTGATGGGACCTCGCCGGAGTTGGGCGAATCGGTGACTCCGGCCACCGTTTGGCTCGGGAAAAGGTCGGGGAGCAAGAGGAGAACGAGGCGAATCCATCTAGGGGATCGGAAGGGGCTACGATAGCGTGGGGACTAGCTCGGCTCGGTTGAGGCGGCTCGGGTTCGCCGGCGGAACTTCGGCGATGCAGCACAAGCGACAGAAAGCGTAGGAGAAGGAAAAGCGTTGCTTACCTCGCGTAGAAGTTCGGCAAGGCAGTCACGGAGGTGGAGAAGCGGCGGCGCGGTGAACCGACGACGATGGCGGATCTCCGAGCTCGCGGCGGCGCTGTTTTAGGGCACGGGGCGGCTGCGGCTTACTTCCAAAGCTGGACGAGGAGGTGGCGGGTGCAGGGCTCGGTACTTATGGGAGGGCTGTGCTATGAGCGCATGCCAGGACATGGCATGGCGGAGGCAGACTCCCAGTGGCGGAGCAGAGTCCGTTGCATGGACGGCTCAAGGTGGGACACGGTCCTGATAGGGCGGACCCACCTGTCAACAAAAGGAGAGGGCGCGGGACCGGGCGGACAGAGAGACAAAGGGAGAGAGGGGAAGTGCGCTGGTGCGGGCTGTGCTGAGATGCGCCTGGCTTGCTGGCTTCGGCCTCCGCGCGAGAGAGCAGATGGAGCGGGCGGCCCAAGAGGAGAAGGGGAAGGGAAAGCGGCCTGGACTGGCTTGCTAGGCTGCGCAAGAGAAAGAAAAGGAGGCGGGCCGCGCGGGATAGAGAGGGGGAGAGCTGTGCCTGTGGGAGAAAAAGGAGGAGAACAGGCCGACGGTGGGCTACGCTGAAATGGGAAGGGAGGAAAAGATTTCATTTTCCTTTGAATTTCTAGATTTCCAAAGTAAATTTGAAATGGATTTGAATTCCTTTGAGTTTTGAATCAAACCAAACATCACAAAAAAAAATCCCAATGCAGCAGCATGTATGCACAACATGTATGTAGACCTTATATTTGATTTTAATTTAATAAAATTTATTATTTTTCTATATTGCATGCACACACTAATGCGTAAATAAATCAATTTATCTATTTTAAAAATGTTGCAAATTTTTTTGGGTGTTACATCTATGATTGAATTCTCATGACTTCTTATACATGGTTTACTATCTTTAGGTAGCTTCTCTTTCACAAAGTTGTGCAGCACCTCATTCTACTGCATTTTGTTGTAATATTTTAACCTCCAGATGATGCAATCTTAGAGTTTTGAGCTCAACTTCATGCAATTTTGCACTATGATAAGAGGAATGGTTTTCACGTTATAGGTTGTTTCATGTTTATAAATTCTTAATGAATTCAGTGTTCCTTTGCTCTTTTATGTTATAGGAACCTAGCAGTGTGGAGAAAATCATGAAAATTGATGAGCACATAGACTGTGCCATGAGTGGACTTATTGCTGATGCTAGAGCATTAGTTGAGCACGCTCGTGTTGAGACCCAGGTACATTCCAGTGTAATATACATATTATTCACATGTTTGCGAGCTTTATCTGTTAAATCTGACTTGACTTGTTATAACAACCAGAATCATAGGTTCTCATATGGGGAGCCAATGACCGTAGAATCTTCTACACAAGCTATCTGTGACCTGGCTCTGCGCTTTGGTGAAGGTGATGAAGAGTCAATGGTTAGCCTCATTTATGTTACTATAACCTCCAGAACACAAGAAGCAAGATTAATTATCTGCAGATTACATTTCATTCCTTCAACTTCAAAATATAAGATGGATTTACACCAATATCTTTATTTTCAAATGTTCTGACTGGAGGAAATTGAATCCAGTACAACATTTACGTGTCCTTATCACTGGTCAGCCCTATTACTCCCATAATGAATATGAGAAGAGATAACATACACTAATGACCTTTTACGAAACGATTTGTTATATACCTATCTTGCCTGCATTGGCTCTTTCATGTGTAAATATTATCTTATCAGGGCCTAATGGTGAAGATGGACCTATGAATTGTTTTTGTTAAGGTTCAGTTAGAGTTACAAACCAAAAACTTTCCCCATTTGCCAACCATTTTGATAGGGCCAACCCACTACTAGTTTTCAGTTTTCACAGCATTTATACAGCCACAGTTTCCTGCAACACACATCTACTTTTACATTTCCATCGCAATAGCTCGTCGAGGGGTGTGCTAAGTTGTAATCACTTCATGTATCGTGTAGTGGGCGTTCTGATGTACTTATTTGTTTGTGAAGTCACGGCCATTTGGAGTCTCCCTCCTAATCGCTGGACATGATGAGAATGGACCTAGCTTGTAAGTGCTGATCCATTTAGCTCACTGAACTGGATTTTCTTTAATTGCAGTCTTCAGAATCCATGCTTTTCTTAAACTGGGGAGATTTACTTCTTTTTCTTATGCTAAATCATTGTGCTATAACGCATTGAAATTGCTTTTTTGTTGCCTTTTTTTACACTTTAGGCTGTCATGGTAATGTGGGTTGCTTTACTTCTGTTTTCTTCTGTAAAATCATTTTACTATCGTCATATCATGCATCACATTTGCTTTTTGTTGGATCTTTTTAGATCGTCATGGTAAACGCTTTTTTTAGTGGATGTCTCTTTGCTGCAGAGTGTGGGCTTACCATTTGTTTGACTCACATGAACTATAGTTGTCTACTAGGTGGTTTTGTTCTAGTGTCATTATGTGTCCTTGACAGAAATTAAAGTAAAATTCCTGTAAAATAAGGAAAAACAGGAAGGCATGGAACTTGTGACCAAGATTGTTCCAATGGTTATCTACATCATGCATTGAACTAAGTTATTCGCTTTTATAGTTGAGCTACCTTTCCATTCTGTACATATGTGGAAAAGGTCTTTACTTATAACAAGCATAAGTGATATATAAAAAGGTCAACTTGGAGCCTAAGTAATAATTTTCGTTGGGGTTTTATGTGCTCATGCTTTATGTTTCATGATTTGATCCATATGTGTATAGTTTTTAAGTAGAAAGGTATTCTTTCCCTGCTTCCCAATAAGTCTAGGGGGGATTTTCTTCATTTACCACTGGAAGTTTAGCCAATTCCCAGACATAAGTTTATTCGGTATACATGTTGGCTGAGGCATATATTTTAGTTAGTGGAATATAGTGGAGACCAGGCACTTATAACATGCCCGTCTGTATATGTTGCTCATTTTGCAATCATGGCATCCTTATCTCTCTATGTTGTGAGGCAAATCTTTTTGTCATAATCAATTTACACAAGGCCACTGGACTTAATTTCTCATGGTTCACCATATGTGTGCTTCAGATACTACACGGACCCATCTGGAACCTTCTGGCAATGCAATGCAAAGGCAATTGGATCAGGTTCTGAAGGAGCTGATAGCTCCTTGCAGGAGCAGTACAACAAGGTATGGTTCAAGATAAATGCTAAGCTAATCAACAAATCGTACAGTTCCAATGAGAGGTGCCGCCTGTGAACACTAGTTATAAGGAATTATCTACCAAAGCACATTATGTCTTGTAAACTCAATACACGGGGAAAAATGTCCTAGAGCAGTAGATTAATTGCAATGCTGCTTAGAATCTTTGAATATGCTACTCACACATAATGACATCACAAGAATTTGCTCCACAAGGATGTAAAAATGGGAGGATAATAGTCCTCCTTTATGGCTGTCAAAAAAATGTAGAAGTGCATGCATACTGCAATGTCATAGAACAGATCCATAAAAAATAGTGTCGACTATTACTCATGTGGAAGAAAATCGAGAGTAATGCCTTGCTGATATTGCAGGAACTGACCCTCTAGGAGGCGGAGGCCATAGCCCTTTCTATCCTGAAGCAGGTTATGGAAGAGAAGGTATGGCATGTCAAACTATTCCATATTCCATCGCTCAGCTCTGTTGAACCATTCATCTAAATGTGAACTTATCGTCTTCTTCTAAACAGGTGACCCCAAACAATGTCGATATCGCCAAGGTTGCCCCCAAGTACCACCTCTACACCCCTGCCGAGGTCGAAGCTGTCATCGCAAGGCTGTAAAACACTTCTGAGTTCTTGATTTCCCGTCAACAATCACGGTCGTTGTACGAAGCATGGACATTTTGATGTGGGCCTATCAGCATGCTAGTGTGTGTTGCCATGTTTGTCACCATGCTCTGTCAACTCCACAGGGGCAGTTCATGATAGACTAATTGGTAGCCCGGCCAGTTCAGTGATTTAAGTAGCATTGAGAACTTTGTACTGCCAGAAAGAATGTATACTTCTTTTTACGAATTTGACTTCAGTTTCTTCTTTTCCCAGCCAGTTCGTGACGTGTTGACTGGTTTTGCAACCTGCAATTTCCAGTGGTGTGTGAATTACTGCTGTCGTGGTGGCCATATCCGGTGCCTTTCACGCACAGGCTATGGGGGTGTTCGCTTCGCTGAAAAGCCATGGCTGAAAGTATTGTTCGCTGATTTGTTGTGAGAGAAAAACACTGTTTCTTCGCTGAAATAGTATGGCTCATAAGACAAGCGAACAGGGCATTACAAATATGATGGTTTACTAGGCATAGATCATAACACTAGAACCAACATAGCCTGTACTCACATATCATATAAAAACAGAAAGAATATCTTATCACATCTATATGAGCACCATTACACAAATTATATAGACTCATGCAATTCATTCCTTCATAAATAAAAAAAAAGGAATAGTAAAGGAAGCCATGAAGAGTTTTCCCCTCGCTTCGATTATGTGTCAACAGAGAAGTTATTCTTTTTAAATATTTTTAGCCATATTGGATTTCCTTAGCCCAAAATAGGTGCCCGGTCCTAGCGTTAAGCTTAACAGCCCAATGTTCTCGATCTTCTTTGGGACGAGATTCAATTCATGTGTAGGAAAGCCAAAATCTCATCAAGTAGACTCAAAGGAATTAAATATGTGTACCCATGTCACATTGTTGTAGGAAAAAAGAATATGAAGGAGTGTGTTGTCGTGGAACTTCAAAGTTTGGATCTTATAGTTTTGTTAGAAAAAATCAATGATGGCCCCCCATCTTAGTCTCTTTTTTCCTTGAGTTTTTCCAGCATTGCTTAAGAAGGTTTACATAAATGATCATGTTGTCTTTCTTCTTGAATGGATCTATTCCTTTAAGCCGTAACTGATGGCCTTCTTCCTCTGTATAATGAAGGGTACTCATATCGTAGCTTGTGGAAGCACAACAAAAGTTGCATAAAATTTGTCATTCTCCATTCTATATGGAAACAAGTTAACTTTGACGTTTGTAAAAGCTAGATGTACATCTATTTGAATCAAGAGCTAGTGTTCAACATATACTCCCTCCACTATGGTTTATTACATGCTCTAGCTTTTCTCTAAGTTAATTTTCCATAACTTTGACATACTTCCTAGAAAATCAATCCAAAATTTTGAACATCAAGTTTGTTTCATTGAATTATTTATGACATATGTATTGGTAGTGCTTTTTTGTTGTCAAAATTTATTTGAAACTTTGTCAAAGTTATACAAGATTGGTTTTAGACTGTACTAAAGTTAACTGTAATCAAGAACACAAGGAGTGTGTGGCAATTGCCATGTTTAGCTATAAGCATTCTAATTTTGTAAATCATTTGTGTGCATGCATCTGCATTTGTACATACTGGGATTTCTTTTAGTCTCGATCTTGTGGCATTTATTCATTCATTGCTGAATAACATCTCACCAAACCATGACTACAATACTACAACAAAGTCCGTTGATAAAGGCTTTGATACACATGACCAAGTCATAGCTTTACATACTCGTCATGTTTATAAAGTGGAACATTTATGATGTGGCTAAGGTTGTAACATGTGTAAAGGTGAAGTGATCATGCATGTCATTCTTCATGTATCAAAAAAATCCAATAGAAAACGACACTTTTTCCTTGTACGTAGTGGAAATTGTCTTTCCTACACAGACCATATAATCCAATGAAATTGATAACTAAATGTCAAAATCGACTAGGTGCCATGTCATCTATAGCTTATCTGTGGTTTGGCAAAGGCCAAAACCTAAACAGATATACATGAGCTCTGGTTTGTATAAATAGGCCCCAAATTAGTAGTTAATCCATCACCCATAACATTGAGAGCAATCAGAAACATACCAAGTGAAACAAACTAGCAACGTCCTCGCAACAATGGCAACCAAGATATTTGCCCTCCTTGTGCTCCATGCTCTTTCAGTGAGCGCCACAACTGCGGTCATTATTCCGCAGTGCTCACATGCTCCTAATGCTATTATTCCACAGTTCCTCCCACCACTTACTCCTATGGGATTCGAACACCCAGCTATGCAGGCCTACAGGCTACAACAGGCACTTGCGGCAAGCATCTTACAGCAGCCAATTGCCCAATTGCAACAGCAATCCTCGGCCCATCTAACCGTACAAACCATCGCAGCGCAGCAGCAACAACAGTTCCTGCCAGCACTCAGTCAACTAGCCGTGGCAAACCCCGCCGCCTACTTGCAACAGCAGCTGCTGGCATCCAACCCACTGGCCCTGGCGAACGCTGCTACATACCAGCAACAACAATAGCTGCAACAGGTCCTGTCAGCACTCAGTCAACTAGCCATGGCGAACCCTGCTGCCTACCTGCAACAACAACAGCTGCTTGCATCCAACCCACTGGCTGCGGCCAACGCCGCTGCATACCTACAACAACAACAACTGCAACAGATCCTACCCACGCTCAGTCAACTAGCCGTGGCGAACCCTGCTGCCTACTTGGAACAGCAACAGCTGCTTCCATTCAACCAACTGCCTATGGCGAACACCGCCGCGTACCTGCAACAACAGCAGTTGCTGACCCATTGGCTGCCGCCTTCCTCCAGCAACAACAATTGTTGCCATTCAACCAGATATCTTTGATGAACCCTGCCTTGTCATGGCAGCAACCCATCGCTGGAGGTGCCATCTTCTAGATTGCATATGAGATGTATTTGATAACAAAGCTCTCATACTGGCGTGTGCAACTTACCAGGAATAATCAATACATTGATTGAGATTTATCTGAGTCCATTTCTTAACTGTGTTCTTCGTATATACAATTGAAAACATCAAATCATAATTAAGACACATGCTTGGTTAATACATAGACAATACCACATTACTTCATCAATCCAAACATGTGCAAGCCCAACCTCTTGAATGTTCTCATTTGGGTGTGCGTGTGTGTTTATAAGATTGATGCGACAATACGCGCTTGCAGATGAGTACTTGCATCTGTGGTATGTTTTTTGAGAAAGTGATGGGCACATATGCTTTGACCAACGACCATTCAAATCAGGTGCACATATACCAAGCGAAACTTAATGAGTTCATCAGTAAACCTACATGTGCATCCAAAGTTGTTCACGCAAAGTCTTACCTCTTAATTATTGTTTTTAGTAAATACTTGGTGTGTATGTTTTCAACTAGAACCCAAATTATGCGGGCCACCATAGTATTGTAGACATATAGGGAAGTCTTTGGAGCCCGTGAACTTAACAACACCAAGGTTATTAAATTAGTTGGTAACAACAAAGTACGAAACTTCTTGCCTAATAAAATTTATTATGAATATGAAGTTTAAATTATTATCCCATTAATAAATTAAAGAAAATTTTGTTGAGGGACACCAAACTTGCGTGGAATTGGCTGCTCAACAAGCTAGCTCATTTTTCTGCTAGGTGGCATTACCAAAGATAGGAGGATCCTTGCTGATGGACACCATAGCCAATAAAATAATATTTAGATTTGGAATATTTAAATCTAAAAGTAAGCCCCTGAGATTGAAGTACCAACCGGCCACCACCATCCTACACTTTTGTAGAGAGAACCCACCTGGAGTGCCATTCTCACTCCTAGCTTAGCCCAATGGATTGCAACTTGCTTCTATGTGTAGCATGTGGCAAAGGGCATTTTCTGAAATGTTAAATCTAAAACAATAATTAAGAAGTTTAATACGAACATGACGGTTTACTAGGCATAGCTCATAACACTAGAACCAACGTAGCCTGCACTCACATGCCATATAAAAATAGAAGGAATATCTTATCACATCTATATGATCACCATGACACAAATTATATAGACCCATGCAATTAATTCCTTCGTAAATAAAAAGGAATAGTAAAGGAACCCATGAAGAGTTTTTCCCTCGCTGCGATTATGTGTCAACAGAGAAGTTATTCTTTTTAAATATTTTTAGCCATATTGGATTTCCTTAGCCCAAAATAGGTGCCCGGTCCCAGCATTAAGCTTATCAGTGTTGACACTGAAATTTGGTTCAAGATAGGAAGCCTTAAGGACAGAGATTATCAAAGAAAGCCGAAATATTCGACCAAATCGGCTGACCAGATTGCCAGCAAGAACGACTAGTAAGATGACATCATCACTTCAAGGGAATGGGCCCTATCGGCAGAAGCAGTGAAACATAAAGCGAGAAGACACGTCAGACTCCATGGAAAGGGAAGATTGGAGTCCAAGTTATCCTAAATTAGGAAATTCTATTTTCTTTTCCAAATTGTGTGGTTGGTCCTATTCGACCAGGACTCGTAGTCAAGCCTCGGATATAAATATTAAACCCCAGCTATTGTAATAGACATCTCTCATCGATCAATCAAAACAAGTACCTTTACTTTTTGGCTCAGGCTACCCCTTAGAAGTAGGAGTAGAGTAGATTTCGATGAGTTCTTTGGGCAAGCAGGGCTGCATCGGACGACCTGACCTCTGGCTTATTTGTGAGTATCCGTCACGATTTATATTGTTACTTGCAAGGCTGCAACAGACGACTGATGTCTTGCGAGTCGTGGTATAAGTTAGTTATCGATATATATTGTTACTTGTAAGGCTGCAACAGACGACTGATCTCTTACAAATCACGGTATAGAATAGTTATCGATTCGTATCAATCTTTGCAAGGGTGCAACAGACGACTGATCTCTTGTAAATGTTGGTATTAGTCAAAGTTATCGATATTGTGTTAGATAGTTTACTGTTTAACATAATATCACCAATTGCCCAATCTAGATTGAGATTCGTTGGTCTTATCTATTTTGATCTATCGTCTGTTGATTATTATCACAGTTGGATTCGATTCTTGACGTTAGATCCTATTTTGATGACTAATCTATCTCAATCTTGATCGTACATGGCGGGTGTTTGAAGTCGTGTTCTATTAAGAGGTAGGTTTATTGATCGTCAGTATCCGGTATGACTCCGCTATCAATGCTGCATCAGCCGACTCAACCTGTTGATAGTGTGTTAGATAGGACGTTGTCGGTTAATAGATCTATCTATTAAGAAGAACATGGCGTCAGCCACCCGCTATGTCTCCATCGGCTATTTAGCCGATGGCTTGAGCTTCCACGCGCATAACATGCTTTCATGATTCCTTTGCGATATAAGTAGATCTACCGACCACTGGTCTCTGATCTAGGGTCCTACTATCAATGCTGCATCAGATGACTCGACCTATTGATGGTACAATAGATTGAGTCTAGTTGTTTGTAGATTTATTTGTATCCAACGGATGAGTGATCGTATGCCAAGCGACACGATCACTGGAATCGGTTGTTTTAGCCGATAACCCGCTTTGTTGAGGATGTACTGGCTGTTTATATGCTTCTACTTGTTTTTGTCCTGGTTGAAAGCTAGTATGTCTCTCACATGTATGCTTACACGCCTATACTTACATCTTTCGCATGCTTTCATGATCATCGGCTAAGTTAGTTTCATGCAACTGAGTAAATAATAATTGCAATATGCTTGTTTTGCTTACCTTACATCATGAACATACTAGATATCGACTCTCTAGTCGATAGCCTTATCATGCTGGCCACTTGGCCATATATTTAGAACTGTCTGGACAAACATCGGCATGTTCCACCTTAAATTATTGATCAACTTTCTCTCCTTGTCAATTGCAGGGTTAAATTGACAGGCACGACCTCGGTCACGACCATCCAGTCCGATGCCCTTCCTAAGCCCGAAGAGAGCTCAGGATCTGCTCCGCGCAGTTTCTCTCGGCTTGCTCGTGTCGGCGGCTCCCTGTTGCCTTTTTGCCATCTATAATGAGCCCAATGTTCTCGATCTTCATTGGGATGAGATTCAATTCATGTGTAGGGAAAGCCAAAATCTCATCAAGTAGATTCAAAGGAATTAAATATGCATACCCATGGCACATTGTTGTTGGAAAAAAGAATATGAAGGAGTGTGTTGTCGTGGAACTTCAAGTTTGGATCTTGTAATTTTGATAGAAAAATCAATAATGACACCCCATCTTAGTCTCTTTTTTCCTTGAGTTTTTCAAGCATTGCTTAAGAAGGTCTACATAAATGATCATGTTGTCTTTCTTCTTGAATGGATCTAGGCCTTTGAGCCCTAACTGATGTTTTAGACAGCCAGGAGGTTGGCCATGGACCTCTTCATCAGTATATTGACGGGTAGAGTCATATCGTAGCTTGTGGAAGCACAACAAAACTTTTATAAAATTTGTCATTCTCCATTCTATACGGAAACAAGTTAACTTTGACATTTGTAAAAGCTAGATGTACATCTATTTGAATAAAGAGCTAGAGTTCAACATATACTCCCTCCACTATAAATCCTTTGTGTGTGCATGCATCTGCATCTGTACATACTGGGATTTCATTTAGTCTCGATCTTGTAGCATTTGTTCATTCATTGTTGAATAACATCTCACCAAACTACCGTGCATGCTTTAACCATGACTACAATACTGCAACAAAGTCCATTGATAAAGGCTTTGATAACCATGAGCAAGTCATAACTTTATATACTCGTCAAGTTTATAAAGTGGAACATTTTTTATGTGGCTAAGGCTGTAACATGTGTAAAGGTGAAGTGATCATGCATGTCATTCCTCATGTATCAAAAAATCCAATAGAAAACGACACTTTTTCCTTGTACGTAGTGGAAATTGTCTTTCCTACACAGACCATATAATCCAATGAAATTGATAACTAAATGTGCAAATCGACTAGGTGGCATGTCATCTATAGCTTATCTGTTGTTTGGCAAAAGCTAAAATCTAAACAGATGTACATGAGCTCTCGCTTGTATAAATAGGCCCCAAATCAGTAGTTAATCCATCACCCATAACATTGAGAGCAATCAGAAACATACCAAGTGAAACAAACTAGCAACGTCCTCGCAACAATGGCTACCAAGATATTTGCCCTCCTTGCTCTTTTAGTGAGTGCAACAACTGCGGTCATTATTCCGCAGTGCTCACTTGCTCCTAATGCTATTATTCCATAGTTCCTCCCACCACTTACTCCTATGGGGTTCGAACACCCAGCTGTGTAGGCCTATAGGCTATAGTAGGCACTTGCGGCAAGCATCTTACAACAGCCAATTGCCCAATTGCAACAGCAATCCTCGGCCCATCTCACCGTACAAACCATCGCAGCGCAACAGCAGCAACAGTTTCTACCAGCCCTCAGTCAACTAGCCATGGCGAACCCTGCTGCCAACTTGCAACAGCAGCTGCTTGCATCCAACCCATTGACCCTAGCGAACGCTACTACATACCAGCAACAATAACAGCTACAATAGGTCCTGTCAGCGCTCAGTCAACTAGCCGTGGCGAACCCTGCTACCTACCTGCAACAACAACTGCTTGCATACAACCCACTGGCTGCGGCGAACGCCGCTGCATACCTGCAGCAACGACAACCGCAATGGATCCTACCCATGCTCAATCAACTAGCCAAGGCAAACCCTGCTGTCTACTTGTAACAGCAACAACTGCTTCCATTCAACCAACTGCCTGTGGCGAACACTGCCGCATACCTGCAACAACAGCGGTTGCTGTCAGTTAACCCAGTGGCAGTTGCTAACCCATTGGCTGCCACCTTCCTCCAGCAACAACAATTGTTGCCATTCAACTAGATATCTTTGATGAACCCTGCCTTGTCATGGCAGCAACCCATCGCTAGAGGTGCCATTTTCTAGATTACATATGAGATGTACTTGACAACGAAGCTCTCATACCGGCGTGTGAAACTTACCAGGAATAATCAGTACATTGATTGAGATTTATCTGAGTCTATTTCTTAACTGTGTTCTTCGTATATACAATTGAAAACATCAAATCATAATTAAAGACACATGCTTGGTTAATACATAGACAATACCACATTACTCACTACTAGAAATATCCACTTCTATGACGAATCCAAAATCGTCATAGAAGCTCGCTTTTTATGACGAATATTTCTGTTTCATCATAGATCAGTAGTGACGATCCTGCAACCCTCCCTTTTTATGATGAAATCAGGTATCGTCACAAAAACATCATAGAAGAGTGCATGGTTTCATCATAGATCACTTGCGTGACTCATCTGTGACGATCTCGTTTAAACCTATGATGAACAGGGCTTCATCATTGAACTAATTACACATATGTGATGAACAATATTTGATCTATAATGAACGTCTTCGTCATAGATCTCCACACTGTACTTTCTCCATCCGACGTGTACCTATGGGACCAACAATTACTCATCCGTGATGCTTGCAATTCGTCATAAATGCCTCAGCTCGATCCTTTCTCCATGCGACGTGTACCTGTGGGACCCTTCTCCATCCGACATGTACCTATGGGACCTGCAGTTACTCATCCATGACGCTTGCAATTCATCATAAAAGTCTTCGCTCAGTCCTTTCTCCGTCCGATGTGTACTTGCGGGACCCTTCAACATCCGACCTGTGGGACCCGATGGCTTACGTCTCCATCTGACCTATGGGACCTGACGGCTTTCATGTCACGTGTACCTGTGGGACCATCCGACCTGTGGGACCCAATGGCTCATGTGTCAGGTGCACCTATGGGACCTTTCTCCATCTCCATCTGACCTGTGGGACCCGACGGCTTGCGTGTCACTTGTTGCCACAGGAGTTTAATAAATTCAAACTCAAAAAAAACCATGAGACCTGGGAGTCGAACCCGGTACCCAGATCAAGGAATGGACCATCTTCACCATTGCGCTATATGCCTGGTTGTGTTGACATGTCTTTGGAGTCCTAATAGTAGTATATGTTCTCTATGTGGACAGGTTGACTTATATATTGGATGTATCCCCTACAAGTGGGAACAAATATGTGCCCGTTGGACTTGTGGCGGCGGCGGCGGATCCCCGGTATGTTGTGGTGGCTCAGGCATCCTTTTGGAGGTTAGGCGGCGGGTCTTCCTGGTGGAGCGCTGCATTGGTGTCCTTGTTCGTCGTGTCCTACGACAGATGTGATAGATCTAATCCACATGTCTTCTTTCTCGCCTTTTCCTGTTCGCTTCACTGTTTTCGTCCTTGCTTGAACATGAGGTATATAAGAAACATTGTAGCGTTACAGATCTAGTTAGGCCAATGCTGATGAAAAGAACTAGGAGGTGGCACTGGTTGGTTTTCTACTAGTGTCTTGGCTTTCTGCATATGTTCAGTGTTCTTATTGTAAATTCCTGTGTGCAACTAGGCCTGTTAATTGTAAAGTGCTTGCTTGATTATACCTATCTATCTAGGCAAACATACAGGCCCTTCGCTTCTGCCTTAAACTATTTTTCTGTCCAGTGCTTGCTTGATTCTACATTTCTGTTTTGTATGCTCCAGTGCCACCAGTGAGTCCTTATGGTATTTTGAACTTGTAACATATCTGAGGCCACATTTCTGTGCCAATGATGTCTACATGGTTGTTGGATGTATTAGGATGCAACTCATATGTTTGCTTTCTGTGTCTTCTCCTTGTTGACAACCAAGTTATCCATTTGGTTCCAAACAAGAGGAAGGCATCGAAAGCAAATCAATGCTTTGTGTCCATCATTCACATCACTGAGGCCAATAATGTTTAAGCTGCACATTTTGCTACTGATGCCAATGATGATCACTACCACTTGTTCACTAACATTCTACTTGTGAAAACTAAGAAAGCTCAATTAACTGCTAAAATTGTAATGGTTATAGCTCCATTAACCACTACTCTAGTTTGAGTTATATATATCTATGTGGTGCTACTCTAAATTTACATGAGGTCGTACCATGAAAATTGTTAATAGTTGCACTTTGGTATGAGTTGTGGACTTCACTGATGGATCTTTGTTGGATTGTTTTCCTCTTCAGTGATCTCATTACTGAGGAAGCTCTCATCATACTGCACACTGACAAAATGGAGGAGGCCCCCAATAAGAGGAACGCACTGGCCAACCTCATAGAGGATGCCATTTTCGAGATCCTCTGCCACCTCCCCGCCCGCTCCTTGTTTTGCTACAAATGTGTCTATCGCTCCTAGAAAGACCACATCTCGGACCCCAACAACCATAAGAAGCTTCCCTAGACTATGGCCGACTTCTTCTATGACAGTGAGAACAGTAATCAAAACTTCACCTGCGTCGTCCGTGGTTTACGCCCCCGCTCCTTGGAATTCTTGCCCTTCAACATTGACAATGTAGCTCTCTCAGATTACTGCAACAGCCTCATCCTATGGTGGTGCCTTGGGGCTAATGGATATCGCTATGTTGTCTGCAATCCAATGACCCAGAAGTTTAAAATTTTGATGCCTAGCACCCATGATGTTGGCCATGCTGTTGGTGAGGCTTGCTTGGCGTTCGATCTGACAGCCTCCTCGTACTTCCATGTGATTGAATATGTGGATGTCAACGCTATGTGCGCAGGTGTGGAGATCTACTCATCTCAAACTGTAGCATGGATCTATAAGGAATCTGAATAGGGTGAGCATACTGATGTGACATTTTATAGACAACCAACTGTGTTTCTTAACGGTTGTCTACACATTATGGGGCACTCTAGGAGGTACTCTATGATATTTGTTGTGGATATGGAGGGAAACACATGGAGGAAAATTGATAGGTCAGATGGTCTTCACCACTCCATGCATCAAGCTCAGGGTCACTTGTGTTTATGTACTGTTGCTGGTCCTAATGATTACAAGCTTTCAATCTGGATCCTTGAAGATTATGGTACTGATAATTGGATATTGAAGCATACGGTCACCACGTGGATCCTGTTTGAAAGGATTAATATTAGATTTGGTTACCTAGATTTTGATGACAAGGATATAGTGATCACAGTTCACCTAGAATGGAATTTGATTTTCTTTGTTAGGGAGGATGGAACAATCATCACATATAACATGGACCGCAAAAAAGTTCATGTCATCCCTGTTCGTGTCTTTCGGTATGGTAGACGTACCGTTAAAAAGAATTCATATGCAGACCATTCTATCTTTCTTATGTTTTCTTGTTCTTGGATTCATTAGCAGAGCAGTAAATAGAGCTGCATTTGATGTATCTCTCTGTCATGCATTTTAAATGGACCAATGTTGTTTGCTTGTCTATGGACATGTTAATTTCCTCAATGATGGATGTTTTCATTATTTCAGCTAAACTAGTGTGCCATCTTTGTTTTGTTTGCAAATTGAATTATTTGTTTGGTGCGCACATGTGTTACGGTGGTGTTACAGCTCCCGTCGCCATTTCATCCATTAATTCAGCTATAGTACAATACTTATATTGATTTCTAATGTCATGGGTACATGGGGTATGCTGATTAGGGCACTCTAAAATACAAAAAAATGACACTTCAAAAGCACTACAATGCACCCACCATATTGTACTACTAGGCTATGCTACTATTAAGTTAGCCAAACTTAAAATCATAAACGACACAGTAACAAGCATCATAGGAAGACGAGGAAAACTATGGAGGATACTGTCAGACGCGTTCAAATGTATAGAGGTCAGACTTTCTTACGTGTGCAATAACATTTCAACACCAATGGCTCTACTCTGCATTAGACTGAGGCGAGACTTGCGGTCGGACTTTCTTACGTGTGCAATAACATTTCAACACCAATGGCTCCTTTGCTCTGCATTACACTAAGGCAAGACTTGCTCCTCACTGTAAGGTTCTTGCAAGTTCAACAAATTTCTGCTGACGTACTCCATCGACAAGGGCAGCACTCACCTGCTGAACATCAGCAGGGCGGTAGTGCCGCCCCATCCACCTCAGCAGTAGCTGCTTCAACTCCTACTTCACCACTTCAAGGACTCAACCTGGAGCCTATCTTTGAACAAGAAGAGGCTGAAGGTCCAAAAGAAGAACAAGGAGGTGTTGAGCATCCAAGGCTACGTCAAACTATACAACGGGATCACCCCGTTGACAACATCCTTGGGAGCATCCGAAAGGGGGTAACAACTCGTTCACATTTAGCAAATTTTTGTCAATATTACTCGTTTGTTTCCTCTTTGGAACCTCTCAAGGTAGAACAAGCACTTGGAGATCCGGATTGGGTCATGGCCATGCAAGAAGATCTCAACAACTTCGAAAGAAATCAAGTGTGCAACTTGGTGGAAAGGCCCAATACCAATGTAATTGGTACCAAGTGGGTCTTCCGCAACAAGCAAGATGAAAATGGCATGGTAACGAGGAACAAGGTAAGATTGGTGGCCCAAGGCTTCACTCAAGTAGAGGGCTTGGACTTTGAAGAAACATATGCATCAGTGGCAAGACTCGAAGCAATTTGAATGCTTCTAGCCTTTGCTGCCCATCATGGCTTCAAGCTGTACCAAATGGATGTCAAGAGTGCATTCCTCAATGGGCCAATACAAGAGTTGGTGTATGTGGAGCAGCCACCTGGGTTTGAAGATCCCAAGTTCCCCAACCATGTCTATAAACTCCAAAAGGCGCTCTATGGGCTTAAGCAAGCACCAAGAGCATGGTATGAATGCCTTAAGGAATTCTTGCTCAAACATGGCTTTGAAATAGGCAAAGCCGATCCTACACTCTTTACTCACAAAGTTGGAAATGATATATTTGTGTGCCAAATATATGTCGATGACATAATATTTGGTAGTACTAACCATGTGTATTGTGATGAGTTTA